AAAGTTCTTTTCTGGAAAGCCAGCTTTCACAGGCTTGTTTGGCTTATCACGTCTACTTACAAATCTTCTATTTTGCCACGTAGATGAATCTGTTCTGGGCAGCTGATTAGCTCATCTGGTTTTGGCACATTTAACTTAAATTCTCTTTTAAAATATTTACTAGTTAAATTATGCAAAAGTAAAAGGGATAAGCTCTGATTTTTATTACTTTTAATATTTCTTTCATCACTCCCTTGTGGTACATTTTTTTGTTGTTGTTTAGTCGCTCGGTCGTGTCTGACTATTTTGCAACTCCATGGACTGTAGCCCACAGTCTCCTCTGTCCGTGGACTTCTCCAGGCATGAATACTGGAGTGGGTTGCCATTCTCTTCTCCAGCGGATCTTCCTGACCCAGGGATTGAACCCGGGTCTCTTGCATTGCAGACAGATTTTACTGCTGAGCCACTGAGGAAGTCTAATGCCAAACAGTTTTTGAATTTCTATCTCCTGTACTTAACTTTTTAAATGAATTTTTATTGGAGTAGCTTTGTAGTGTTAGTTTCTGCTATTCAGCAACGTGAATCAGCTGCCCATCTACATATAGCCCCTCTTGTTTAGATATCCTTCCCGTGTAGGTCCTCACAGAGCTCGGAGTTTCCTGAGCTATGCAGTAGGTTGTCATTAGTTATATACACTGTTGACAGTATGTATAAAAGAGATATATCAGCCTCACTCTCCCAGTTCATCCCACCACCCTCAGCTGGGTGTCCGTCCATACATTTGTTCTCTGTGTCTCTGTTTCTGTTTTGCAAAAAATATCATCCGTACCATTTTTTCTAGATTCCACATACATGCATTAATATATTTTTCTGATTTAATTCACTGTTTACCAGTCCCTAGGCCACGTCTCCGTCAATAACCCAATTCTGTTCCTTTTCTGCCTAATGCTCCATTGTCTACATGTACCAGATCTGCTTTATGCATTCATGTCGATGGACATTTTTGTTGTTTCCAAAAATGGTTGTGTCCTGCTGTTGTTAATAGTGCTGCAGTGAATGTTGGGGTGCCACCTGTGCCTTTCTGAATTATGGTTTTTTCTGGGTATATGCCCAGGAGTGGGATTGCTGGGTCATTATCTTCTGTGCTTTAGATATTGGGTGAATGTTTTGTATAACTTGTAGTAGTTGAATGTGTGGGTGGTTTGGACTGGATTTAGTTCAGGGTGTTTGTGACTCATGCATTCTCCTGGGTGTGAGCTAGGTGCTCCGTCTAAGCTGTACCTTGATTTCTCCAAGCAGCTTTTCTGGTCTGCTGGGCTTTCCTGGTGGCTCAGCTGGTAAAGAATCCACCGCAAGGGGGACCTGGGCTCGATCCCTGGATTGGCAAGATCCCCTAGGGAAGGGAAATACTACCCACCCCAGAATTCTGGCCTGGAGAATTCCGTGGACTGTATAGTCCATGGGGTCACAAAGAGTTGGAGACGACTGAGCGACTTTCACTACCTTATTACGACTTGTTTCCTCTCAGTTAAGTGGTTTACAGGTTAATGTGATACTTGAAAAGGGTGATGGGCAGTGTGTGCGTGTTTCATGGCCTGATTCAATTAAACACTCAGTTCTGAATTTACTGCTAAATTGTTTGGTTTTCATGAGTCATAGGAAATAAGTTCTTGAAATAGAAAATGTAGCCCATTTCTCCTCATCCCATAACTTACACATCTGACCCAGTGTTTTTATGTATTCTGAGTATGCTTACTGCAGTTCATTTTTAGGGTTTTGCTGAAGATGGCAGTGTATGGACTGGGTTAGCAAGCGCTGATGAGGTTTGCCTGTGTTTATTGATTATAGAACAGATTTCTTTACGTGTATAAAGCTCTGCTAAGTCCTAAGTGTAAAGCTATTGCTAGTAGTATTCTGGTGAATAATTTTGTTATTGTGACTATTTGGGTTTAGGCTTGGTGTAGTGGGGTATCTAATACTAGTTTGGGTTTCAGCTGTCCTGTACTCAGGAAACATTAAAGTCACTTTCAGTTTATCTCTGCTATGGCTTTTTAAGGCTGAGAACTTGTTTGTTGTGGTGGTTATTCTGTAACACTTTACACTGGTGTTTCCTATTAACTTGGATTACTTGTATGATGACAGTGGCTGACAGGAAATTTACCAACCCTAGATAAACTTACTCAGACTTCATTTATGGCTTAATTTTGATTACTGCTGTTTCCCTTGGGGGTGTGAGTAAGCCAGGCATTGTGAGCTACTATTTTCATGTGCTTGATACTGGCTCCTTTTAATCTTTATGATGTTTGCATGAACAATTTTATTAAAAACAAACAGGCTGGGAGCAAACCCATGTTAATGGAATTCAGTGCCTGCCTTTTAAGTATTTTAGCTACATTAACAGGTGAGTTTGTATATTTTATGTAATAACGTAGCTTATGTATGGTTGATCTATATAATTTATGTTGAATTGAATGCTGATTTAACTTATTTTGGTAAAAGATACACTCCTTATATAGACAGACCCCTCCCTAGATCTAAGTAATTCATTGATACGTCTAGGGTTATTTTCTAGGTCTGTTTTCCTTTGAGCATGGAAATGTTTGTTAAACAGATCCACTAACAAACTCTGTGTATTTGTATTTTTTGCCTTGTTTTGGGGGTTTGGCATGATGTCATAGGCACACAGAGCACAGCATTTAGTGGGGGTGGTAAGGGCAGTTTGTTTCGCGGGTTACTTACTGTTTAATGCATACATACGTGTACACGTCCACAGGGAATGTAAACTAAAATGAGGCTGTTTCAGTGCCAGACTGGCTGCAATAAATCGTCTGAAATTAAATGCAAGACAAGAGGGAGGAACCCAGCATACACACTGCCAATGAGAATATAATCCAACTGGTTCCACCACCTTGCAGACCCATTTGGAAGTATTTAGCTATGTTGAAATTGCATATACCCCCTGACCCAACAATTTCATTTCTATAAATACACACCCAACACATGTGCACAAGATGTTCAAGTATGTTTATTTGGTGCCACAACTGGTTGAAATCAAGAATTTAAAATTTTTCTGTCAACAGAGAAATGATAAGTAAATGTGGCATATACATCAATGAAATACCAAGTGGCAAAAAATAAACCAACTAGAGTTACATATATGAGATAAATTTGAAAATACTATTGACTGGAAAAAAGCAAACTGCACATGTTATACACTGTGGATACATCTGTACATATAGTACAGACAAGAAAAACAGAGAGGATGTCCAGCAAATTCAGGACAGTTTACCTTTGGAAAAGGAAAGAGTAAGATTAGAGGTGGTGGTACTTAAAAGGATAACTTCATTTTCTCTTTAAACAGGGGCCCTTAAAGCAAATGATGGCAAAATGTTATGACCTACCAGAGCTGGGTGATATCTACCACAGGCATTATCCTGTACTTTCAGTGCTTGACAGATTTCAAAAATTAAAAGTAGCCAGGGGCTTCCCTGGCAGTCCAGTGGTTAAAGTGATCGTGTTTCCACGCCAGGGGCACAGGTTCCCTCTCTGGCTGGGGAACTAAGGTCCCGCATGCTGCGTGGTGCAGCCAAACCCAGTAACCAAACAGCGTGGTATCAGGGAGAGACTACTGCTGCCCACCGTTTGTTAAACCAGTTTCCTGTGGTACACATTGTTTGTAGAATTGTAATTTAGTATGAGTTTGTATGATTGTAATTTTCTATTTTAAACTGTTGTCGGTTAGACAGGCCTCCCCCAGTTTCTTAAACGGGAGGACAGACACTGCTGACCCCCAACCCGTGGTCCCTTCTCTTGCTAACAGAACCAGTTTTGTTTAGCTATCAGAAGGCTACATGCTTCGCAGAGTATTCACAACCTAAGGGGAGGGATCTTGATGACTTGAAGCCAGTCACAGCAATTCTGTTCTCCATGTTAATAACTGATTTGGAAATAGGCATTTAACGGCTCCCAGTAAGACACGTAGGTGAAATCTACCAAGGGGCTTGGGTGAAAAACCTTGGAGAGACACGGACATTGTTGTACAAGCAGATGATGCCTGGAGATGTCAGCACTGTGGTACACCACAGAGGGTCAACCCAGAGGACAAAGAGGACGACAGGCAGGAAAGCGGACAGAGCCTGGCTCCCTGGTTACACTCCTGAGCCACTGAATTTATCACCTGTGGAACTGAGCCACCCAGACTTCTTGTGAAATAAATTTTCCCTTAGTGTTGTGTGTTAGGGCTTTCCCTGGTGGCTCAGCTGGTAAAGAGTCTGCCTGCAATGTGGGAGACCTGGGTTCGGTCCCTGGGTTGGGACGATCCCCTGGAGAAGGGAAAGGCTACCCACTCTAGTATCCTGGGCCTGGAGAATCCCATGGACTATACAGTCCATGGTGACAGGGTCGCCAAGAGTCGGACACTCTTTCTGAGCAACTTTCACTTTCTAAGTGTTTTAAGACCCACCTAGTTAGATGTTCTGCTCCTCGTAGTTGATTGTATATTGATAAAGAGCATGATTTTATCAAAACACAGATGTCTGAAGAATGTACACATTCCAGCGAGTTCATGACAACTATAAAGATCTTGTTATTCTCATACGTCTGGAGGCAGGAATTTTGCAAACTACACAAATAGCTGTAGCTTTACCAGAACCACCCTAGTTTTGCTTCACTTTCTCAGTCACTGAACAGCCTGAACGAGAATGAGCCTGTTTTGGGGACTGTTACCCATACTAGGAAATGTGACTGAGTCCAAATTTGCTGCTTTGGAAGTATTTGAAGGCCTTTAGTTCACAACATTCTTCTGTAACTCTTCACATATGGTTCCCTAAAGATGTTTGAATGTGTATTCTCACTTTCCAACAAGAGGGAGAGCCCATGGGCAGACGTTTTTCCTGCCCATGCCCCACGCCCTGGCAGATCCAAAGTCCAGTATTCTCACCCACGTTGTAAAGCCAACTCCTAGAAGTCTGGGCAACACTTTCATTTAAACACTATGCTTCTGTAATAAACGACTACAAAGGTATGAACAATAAAGTGGATTTATTTTAAAAGACTACAAAATTTGACACAGAGACAACATAAGGCCCACAGGAATTATTAAATATAAAAATGATTGGCTATAAACAATGTAAAAATACCTTCCCCGGCCCCCATACAGAACATAATTTAAGTATAGCAGTTATAAATCTCTGTACTGTATGTCCTTTTCCCTTTTAAAAGAACCGTTCTCAAAGGTCTGCTTATGTAACAGTGGCTTTGGTCTCACGTTCTCCTTGAAATTTTTATTGACCACAAGGATCTTTTTACTCCTAACTCCTACCATAGCAGATGGAGGCTAATTAGTCGTGGGTCCTGTTTTTAAAAAAAAAATGGTGAAGGTTCTAGGATGCCCTGAAATACCAGTGAAGGTCGTATCTTTGGGTGGCCGGCCAGGAGCTCCCCTCTGCACCAATGAAACGAGTGAAGTGAAACCTGGGGACAAGGAGCGCTTCCGCTGAGCACCGGCCTGCTGGGGCCATTCCCTCAGCCTCCCGTGTGGGGACCCCGAGCGGGCACCCCAAGTGGGCCCAGGCGGCCTGCTGGGCGGAGACAATACTTCAAAGGACAGCGGAGCCTGCCAACCAGCCTGTGGTAATCTCTGAACCCAGGGTAGACCTAAGCCCCCTCTCCTCCCTTACTTAGCACACCCTGCGAACACACACACACATCCTTGGCTGGTTCCATGACCTGAGCAGGCAGTGGTGACTTTGCCACTAGCAACCAAACTGACACCAACAGATGAGGTTCTGCATCAGGAAGGCAGCAGAGGTCGTGTTTGGGCATCTGTGTCTGAAACCAATCCATGACACAGTGGCAGGTGAGAGAGGAGAGGAGGATGGGCCATTAACCTATCTCACTGGAAACACAAGTCCACTCTGGAGTCTTGAGTGAAAACTCTTAACAGGAGGACAAGAAAGGTCTAGCCTGTGAAGCACTTGGTTAGAAAGCTGCTGTTATAAAAAGACCTCCTTTAAGAACAGTCTCATTCAAAGTGCCCTGGCTGGCTCTAAGACAGCTGAACTGGGCACTCCCTTTCTTAAGGTCTCCTCTGAAGAGAAACTAGGGCAATGTCTGTGTGGGAACAAGAACCCTAAGATCTGCTATGAATGCCCGGGAATCTGGAGAAGCTGGCCTCAAGGCAGCCAGAGCCCCAGGCCCACCGCTGCAGGTACTGAAGCAGCACCTGGTCCATCCTGCTAAGGAGACAGAGCGGGGAAGCTCTCAAATAGAAAATCGGATGTTGAGGCTTTAAAATAAGATGGGCTCCAAAAAAAACACTGAACAGAAGCTGAATTTCAGGAGAAATAATCGTGTGGCAAAAAGGAATGAACCATTTTCTGTCTCATAGTATGAACTCATCTCCAGACACGAGTGGTGAAGGCCTGCTTTACAATTGCTTTCAACTGCACTGTGCAAGATGGATCTGATCTTTGGTCCTTAGTTAGGGTAGCAGTTTCTTCCATTTTTCTATGTGTACTTTTACATGGGGTTGCTGACACTGTTGTTTCTATAACATGTAAAATATCAGCATCTCCCATACATTTTCTATTAGGCTATAAAAGGTCTCAGAGTTAGTAATTATATCCTAAAATGTTCCAGTATAATTTTTAAGGCAGAGTGAGATATGGCAAAAGCCTGGGTTTTACATGTGTAAGGAAAAAACCTAGACCAACATTTAAAATAATGATCTCTTAAATACACATTAAACTGTATCTAGTCATCAAAAAGCAAAGTCACAGCTAAGCAAATTAAAAGTGAAACCATTTATAAATGGATGAACTTCATCACGCTGTTTATACAGCTATAAAGCATAATTTGAAAGCTAACCCTAGTAACAATGATGGAATAATTTATCATCAGTTGAGCTATGTGATTTAAAGGAACAGCTGCTCTTACCTCCAAACAAAAACAAAACTTCATCTGACACAAGTTTCAACTGTTATAAAAAAAATTTTTTTAAAGCCCTCTGGCCTTATTTATGGTGACTGATGCACAGTCCAATCAATACTGATCAAACTGCCGTCCTGCCTTGCTCTCCAAAAATCAGCGGTTTAACAAGGACCCAGGGTCTACAGAAGCTGCTGCACCCCGCGGCGGCAACCTTGCACACCCATCCCCTCAAGTCTCTAAGCATTCAAAGGTTCGGTGTACTCTCTCCTCACGACGGCGTCCCCTTTTCTCTGCTGTGGCTCCTTACATTTTTCACGGAGCATAAAGGAGAAGTCAGTCAGGTATGCAAGACTTGCTAGAAATCCAAACACCTGAAGAGGGAAAGGGGACAAAGACTTCATGAGGAATTGTGGAGTATACTCTCATTTCCTGCTTGACTCTGGACCCATTTTACACAGCAAGACAACTCAATTTACTTTTATACGCATGGTCTGTAGCCCACCAGGCTCCTCTGTCCATGGATTTCCCAGGCAAGGACACTAGAGCAGATTGCCATTTCCTTCTCCAGGGACTCTTCCTGACCCAGGAATCGAACCCACGTCTCTCGAGTCTCCTGCATTAGCAGGCACGTTCTTTACCACTAGTGCCACCTGGGAAGCCCCATTCTTAAGTTAAAAAAAAATTTCAGAATAATGCCCATTAGTCAAAGTCTCCCAAAATATCAATGTCCTGTCTTGGGGTGTGTGTGTGTGCAGTGCTAATCTGTGAAGCTAAGGTTAATAATGAAAACCAAGTCCTACTACATGCTGTAAAACAAGACTGTCAGCATGGTTAAGACTGCCACACAGATGAAAAGAGCAGGTAACCGCGCCTGGGCAACAATGAAAAGTTATTCACAGCAAAACATTCTACAGTGAAGATACTTTCCAATTACCTAAGAACTATTTTCCAGTTCACTGTCACACTGTAATGACACAGCAACGGGATGCCACTACCTACTTCCTCTTCCTTAAGTCACTTCCTCATTGCGCACGTCTAATATCTGATCAAACATTCTGAGAATTCTGTCGAGAGACAGAAGAACAGTTCAAATTTAGCTTCCTCACTGACAAGCCCTTTAAGACAGGGGCCAAAAGAGTGCTCAGCAGAAAGGGAAAATCGCGGAGCACTAGGGCTCCAGCCCCACACACCTTAACAGCTGGTGGTCGTTTGCCGCAGGCTCTCGCCCCAGCACCGGCCCTCCATCCTGCCGCATTTCACAGGAAAGCAAACTGAACTTCCTCGTTCACCGGAGTGTGCCCAACACATCCAGCCAAGGTGGAACGATCAATTCCACCCCTCAAAAACCCAAGTCCCTTTTCCCCTCTGGAGTCTTTATTTGGCTTGATGGCATCTGTCCCCTTATTTGGCTGGCAAATATATTCCATACTTTAAAGGCCAGACCAGATGTCACCTTGTCTGTGACGACTACCTCAGAGAGCTCTGGTCTATACAGGATCCCCTCTGCATATCACCCAATGATCTTCTAGCTTTTTTGCTCACATCAGAATTTTTTTTTTTAAATAGACTCCCTCACTCATTTGAATCTATATAATTTTCATACTTAAATAGCTGTAAGAGGTAATTAAGCATATTATAAGTACTGAGCTTTTAAACCACCACTCTTAAAACATATTCAATGAAACTGAATACGGTAACATTCTAACACACCACCTAATTAAAACACACAACTAAGCTTTTAAATATCTGGGAATTTGAGGACATGCTCCTTCCCACCCTCCATAAACTGAACATTTCCTCAACTTTATTTCACTTTTCACTTCCTCCACGGGATTTTTATAGTAATACACTTTTATACTAGAAATTACTGCTTCACCTTATCATATTCTGCAACAAAAATGACTATAAACTAAAATTAACCGTATAATCCCTGGCTAAATACTTGATGCATTTTAGCAATAAAGGTTCAGCATTAATTTTATTTCCATTTTGTTTTTACATGTTTAAGTACTAAGATGTTGTGTTCATGTAAGTAGGTAGATAATATTACAGCCAACCAATTCTCTGAGTGCCTTTTGAGTTGTTCTAAGCAGTTTGAATGATCTATATGCTGATGTTTCCATTAATTACAACTGCAGTTTTGTTATGAACAAAGCATTAATTGGAAATCGGCTGACTAGTGAGAAGACTTCTTAACTAATTGTTAATTGTTCATATTCACAGCACTGGCCCTGATTAAATCCACGATCTTTGATCTGCAATTCAAAAAGCTACAAAAACTCAAAAGTTTCATGATTTACTTGGCTCAAAACTGACACAAGATAAAACTATTTAGTCTTTACCCATCTCTTTTACTGTGAATATTCAGAATAATATTAATATGCAGAAACATTAACGTTGGATAACAAGGTGCTGCTCAGACTGTCCAAAGGTGTGTCAGACAGTGTATGTACAGTTATTGCCTTTCTAAAATCCAGAATATTCTGAATTCTAAAAAACATTGGCCCCTCAACGATTTCTGATAAAAAAACGTTTACCTATCTCTCTCTTCTATTAGACTGAGCTTTGGGGTCATACCTCTGCTATCCCCTACACTTAAAACAGCACCTGATATGTAAGTGTGCTTTTGTTGAACTGAAAAGGGGAGAAATTTTAAGATAATCAGTCAATCCTACCACTTCCATTAGCAATAATGTTCATAGGCAGAGTAAGTGGATTTTTGTTAACTCAAATTCTAAAGACAGGTTCTAGGTTTTTAAGGCTATCATATTTATTTGCCTTTAGGTCCTCTATTGAAAATAACACTAAAAAAATAAGTTAGACAAACGACTCTCCCTTATTGTATAATCTGCTAAGTACTTTCCAAATGCTGTCTTTTTAAGCAAACAAAAACAAGCAAAGGTAAAGGGTACTTACAATTGCTGCAATTTCGGTTATAGTATTGTCATGTGTCAAAGCGAAAATGATGGATGCCACCAGGAGTACCAGTCCTGTGCCCAGAGTAATAAAGAAATCCTACACACGCATGAACAGAGGGGTACAGACAACAGCGTTAGGCTGGTTAAAAACAAGTGTGTTCTACTTTTTAACTTTTAAAAAACAGTGACTTCTTTTTTCTTTACTCAGACTTACATATTTCAACTAACTTTTCAATAAGCTTGGTATTTCATAAATACCCTGTAAAGGAACACCCTATAAATATGCACAGGCTGTATTCAGAATACAGCAGAAAATAATCTTTTAATAAAAATAGTTCTCCATTATCACCTGTATGTGGAATCTAAGAACTAAAATCAATGTGTGTAACTTTGAAACAGACCCACAGATGCAGAGAAACTAGCGGTGACAGGGGGACCAACTATCTTGTTTAAAATAAGCAACAAGATGTAAGTACTGTACGGCACAGGAAAATTAGCCATTATTTTCTAACTGTCTTTAAATGGAGTATAATCTATAAAAATACTGAATTGCTGGGTTTTACATCTGAAAGTAATATAAAATCAACTATATACTATTACAAGTAAATAAGATGAAACACACATGCATTTATGTTTATCTTTTTCTTTAAGACATAAAGATCAAAGCCATAAGATGAAACACCATCTTCCAGCAAAAAAAAAAAAGGCATTTTTCTTTCCTTTTCAGGTAACCCATGTTAGGATGGCCTCTCTGAGTACTTTGTTGCTTTTAAAGTACTTTGGACAAGAGATTCAAAAGGACTATCCATCATTAACTCGATAAAGTTAGGCCAACAGTCTGTTTTTCAGACACTTAAGCTTTGTTGTATAGCCTGTTTTTCACTGTGCCCACCAGGTCACCCAGCACAAGCTTGCATTAACAGGATGAGATTGTCTACCATGTGAGAGCACCCACAGCTCATCGGAAGGCAGCTTGAAGCACTGGACTGGCTTCCTGGTTTCCAAGAGCACTCTCGGGCATCACCTCATGAGGCGTGCTCTCAGAGGCTGACTGCAAACAGTGCTTGACACACAGATTTGATTCAGAGGAGAAACTGGAACCGTGAGTCACTCCAAAGGGTTTTAAGTCTGGTATTTCTTGAGTTTTCTCAAATACATTCTCCACTAAACCTACTATCAATAAAACTACCCCAAACAGAATTTACTATTTTGTTAGTTCAACATTTATAAAAACCACTTGATTTTTCTCTTTGCTTCTAAAAGAGGTGTTTTTCTGCAGTTTTTCTTTTTTTCTATTCCTTTGAATTATTATTTCAAATATGTTACTTACAGAACTATTAATATTTGGAGTACACATGAAATATTTAAACAAGACAGTCATTTTGAGACAGGATGTAGTATTCAGTAACGTGGGTTCTAGAGCTAGACTACCTGAGTTCACATACCAGTAATATTCCTTCCTGGCGGCATGACTGAATTAGTTACCTATGGAGTGTGTGCTTATGTTTCCCCATCTGCAAAATGAGTAGTAACAATATTGTATTCATAGGTGATTCTATAGATAAGAGTTCTTTAATCCAAGAAAACTCTCAGACTAGTGCCAGATACATAATAAATGTTTCATAAACACTGGCTATTGTTATTCTTGATTAATGTAATGGGACAGAAAAGATTCTCTCTTCAAAAAGATCACTGTTCCACCCTAGACACCACAACCACTATACACTCAAAACGTTTTCTCAAAAAGAAAACCTTACACAAAACAATTTTAAGTATGTTAGAAAGCAGACAGTAACTTTTAAATCAAAGAAACATGACTTCCTTACAATGTTGGTTGAAAAGTAGAATATACAAATATGTTTAAAACTTTCTATAAGACCCAAAAGAAATATTGTAAGATATTTTACAAAAACTATTTTAAGATGAAGTGACTAAATTTTTTTTAATCAGTATTTTAAAATCAGTATTTACTCATAACTTTTTAAATGTTGGGAGTTTGATGTAATAAGTGTTCTACCTTTTGCTTATTTTGACCATAAAAGTAGAAAATACTTTATATTGTTTCTCGTCCAAAAGATCAATGTTCTTAAGCACAACCAACCATTTCTGGGGCTTCCCTGGTGGTCCAGTGGTTAAGAGCCCGCCGGCCCCGGGGGAGCGGAGCCTATGCGCCCGGAGTCCGTGCTCCCGCCGAAGTCACCGCACTGAGACCCGAGCGCCGTGATCAGCCAGCGGCCCGCCTGTCGCAGCCAGAGGACGCCGGCGGGCAGCGACGAAGACCCAGTGCCACCAGGAAGTAAACAGGGTTTTAAAAGAACTAAACGCTTCTGAAATACTTTCATGGAAAGTAATGCTGTTTGGCTGTTGGACGAGAAACGCATGAATGTTGTCATCAGAGGCTTCATGGATTTGATTCAGATTCTACCTGATTTTCAAAGTTATTTAATTGTTCAATATCAACTTTTTGTTGCTTCATTTTTCAACCTTAAAAGAATCATTATGTATATGTACTTTTTTATTGACGTATGGCTGATTTATCCTTTTGTGTTCAGGTGTAATACAAAGTGATTCAGTTGTTTTTTCAGATTATATCCACTAGAATTGACTATAAGGTACTGAGTGCTGTTCCCAGTGCTGCGCAGTAAGTCCTTACCGCTCCTCTTTTACGGGCAGTTTCTTGAGCCCACATCCCTAATGTGCCCCTCCTCTCTTCCTCACCTCTGTGGCAACCACAGGCTCGCTTTCTCTGTTTTGTAAGTATATATTCTTTTGTATTTTTAAGAATCCACATGTAAGTGATATCATGTAGTATTTGTCTTTCTCTGACATAGTATAATATTCTCTAGGTCCAGTAACATGTTACTGCAAATGGCAATATTTCATGCTAAAAAGAATTATTTTAACAGACAGTATCCAATTAAAATGGTGGGATAGAAGGACATGGAACTTGCTTGCACCCACAAATACATGAAAAATGCATCGACAAATGGAACAATTCTCACAGCACACCTACTGAACACCAGCAGAAGGCCTCAAACCCCTGAAAGGATAGGAATGATCTTCAAGTGACAGGCAGGATGAAAGAGAAAAAAAAAAAGCAGCAGAAAGGACCTGTACCCCTGGGAGGAGCTGGAAAAAGGAAAGGTTCTCACAGTGTGGGAAGCCGCCTCCCTGGCCAGGAGATGAGCCAGCACAGACAGGGAGCTGCAGAGGAGCCAAACCCGCACACGCGGTCCAGGCCGCCACCCTGCGCGCCCCGGCCCGGGGAAACGTGTCCAGGCGGAGGCGGGGTGCAGGCCTGCAGACAGGACTGCTGTCGGCTGCACGGAGACGGCCCGAAGGGGCCAGCGTGCACTCTAGCCACAACCTCAGGGGCTCCTGCCTTGGCAGGTGCCGGGGAACAAACGACAGCAGGCTGTCCGTGCACAGAGCTGAACCCCAGCCGGACCCAGGGGCCAAGCGGCTTAGGAGCAGGACCGCGGTCTCTGCCCATGGCTCCGGGAGCAGCCAGCGTCCATCTCTGCTGCCAGCTGTGTAAACCCAGCACCCACAGAACGTCGTGCGGACCACGGGTCCTCCCGCGGCTGACAGATGCAGCCTGAGCAGCTGGGGGCTTCCCGGACACGTGCACACAGGGCCAGGGCCTGAGCCCCTCCAGGGGCACCACTCCTGTGGTGCTGGGCTGGTGGCCTTGTGAACACCAGGCCAGAAGGACCCCGGGGCCAACTGATGGCCGTGCCAAGGCTTCGATGGGGCGAGGGCAGAGCTGACCACAGCACAGCTGAGCTTCCTAACAGGTGCCAGCTGAGCAGACTCACCTGAGAACCGCTCTGAGGAAGACTCAGTGGGGACGCTCCCATCCCCCGACCTTGCAGCACAACTCAGAAGCACATCCGGGAACTTCTACTCAACAGCGAGGGCACACACCTGGCCCCCGACAGGCCAGTGACCACCCGAGCAAGGAGGCCCCGCCCGAAGCCCACCGCACATGCTGGTCACGCCAGTCACACCTCCTGGCATGGGCAGAACGGCGAGCAGATGCTGAGCAAAGCCAGGGCAGGCGTCCGCGCTGAAAGCAGCCCCCGCCCCCAACAGCAGTCGACAGGGCCATACAAGGGCGCTTCCAAGTAAAAACAGCCCTCCAAAACCACAGCAGATAACTGCTTCTCCTAAATGCATACAGCAAGGGAAATACAAGTAAAATGAGGAAGCAGAGGAACCACCCTCAATTAGAAGATCAAGTGAAATCCCCTCAAAGAACAAACAACAAAACAGACCTCTTCAGTCTAATACATGGCAAATTCAAAAAGGAGATAATGAAACAGTGAAGAAACTGAGGACTACTGATAGAAATGCAGATTACTATGAAAAGGAACTAGAAACTAAAAAAGGAACCAAGAAAAATTAGTGAATTCATTTCTTGAGATGAAAGTTGAGCTAAAAGTAGTGAATAATGGAATGAAAAATGCAGAACAATTAAGTGACCTGGAAGATAGAAAAATGGAAATCACCCAATCAGAACAGCGGACATAAAACCAAATTAAAAAAAAAAATGAAAGCAATATGAGAGACCTATGGGATAACAAAGTGTGCCAATCTGTGCACAAGTAGAATTCAAAAAAGGGAAGAAAGAGAAAAGGGGACTGAAAATGCATTTGAATAAATTATGGCTGAAAATATCCCAAATCTAAAGAAGGAAACAGATATCCAGGTACAGGAAGCAGAGAAGAGTCCCAACCAAGGTAAACCCAAACAGACCTACACCAAGACATACTTCTCTACAGAAACTCTGCAGGCCAGAAAGGAATGGCAAGATACATTCAAAGTCCTGAAAGGGAAAAATCCGAAACCCGAGATACTCTATTGAAACAAAGAATTTCCCAAACAACTAAAAACTAGAACAATACAGCAATACTAAACCCATCCTAAGGAAAATACTGAAAGGTCATCTGTAAACGTAAACAAATTTTAAGCATCTACAGGAAAGAGAAAATCATGATCTGAAAGTAAATTACTTAGGTAAGCTAGTATACAGATTAAAAAATCAAAAATTTCTGTGAAGTGGGAGGTTGGGATTGACATATGTACACTATTGATACTCTGTATAAACAGATAGCCAGTGAGCACCTATGTACAGTATGCAGTGCTCTCTGGAGACCTGAGCTGGAAGAAAATCCACAAACAAGGGGCTGAATGCGTACATGTAGCCGACTCACTGTGCTGAGCAGCAGGAGCGCTGTAAGGCGACTGTGCCCCAATGAAAACTGAAACACAGCCGCATACAGATCACTGAAACGGAGCAGGGAGGCGAGAGGTGAACCCTGACGCTGGTGGCAGGAACACAAATGGGTGTAGCCACGACGTGCAACAGGGAGGCGCCTCAAAAACTATGAACAGAGTTGCCACAAAATCCTGCAATCCCACTCCTAGGCATAAACCCAGACAAAACTGTCATTTGAAAGGACACACACACCCCAGAGTACACAGCGTCACTATTGTTGCCAAGACATGGAGACAACCTAAAATGTCCATCAACAGATGAACAGGCCAAGAAGATGTGTGTGTGTGTACATTTATATACACACAACGAAATGTGACCCCATAAAGAGAATGAAATTACACAATTTGCCGCAAAATAAATGGATTAATCTTACTAAGTCAAGTAAGTCAGAAAGAGAAGGACAAATACCTTATCACTTACAGGTGAAATCTAAAATATGGCCACAAATGAACCTACCTATGCAAGAGACTCCAGACACAGAACAGATGGGTAGCTGCCCCGGGGGAGCAGGGTGGGGGAGGGATGGATTGGGAGTGTGGGTGAGCAGAGGCAAACTGGTATATACGGGATGGGTGAACAAGGTCCTTCTGCGTAGCACAGGGAACTAGATCCAGTATCCTGTGATAAACCACAGTGGAAAAGAATAGGAAAAAGAACTGTGCATCTATGTGTGTGACTGAATCACTTCACTTTGGGGCAGAAATTAACACTAAGTCAACTATACTTCAATAGAACTTTTAAAATGCAAAAAAAAGGTAATAGTTCTTATGTTACAAAAGGGTATAAAGAAAAAAGTAAATCTTAGGTATATTATCCATATAGGACCCAAAGCTTGCTTCTCATTAAAACAATAATAAAATCCTAACTGGTTTATATTTATCCTATTATCTGGTTTTTAATAGTTAAAACTTACTCTATTTTTTATCTTTCTCCTCAAAACTGTGAATTTCATAAATCAACCCTGCTAGTTACAGTTCCTCATAAACCACTCTTGAGAACCTGAATCCTACTGAAGTAAACCGTTCGATTTTTTCTTTCTTAAATGCAGTAACTCTGTAAATTAGCTCATCTGTCATCTCACAAAAACTGACGGTCAGACTTAGTCTTTAGAAAGTTATACATCTCTTAATTTTGTGAATATAAAATTGCCCCCTCTACTTTTATTAAAAGGGTTAACTTCTAAATAATGAATTTAACAAATACCTTCTAAATTCACTTAGAGCCAACTTTCTTTCATAATAAAACCAAAACAAAATAGGTAGAATTACATGCTGTTTTGCTTAAAGCTCCAAACCCTATCACATCAGTTCATCACTCCATCTTATGTTCAGCACAATGCGGAACTCCAAAAACCCACACTCTGAAATGTGAGAAATCAAAAATGATAAAATTCCTAGTTTTTAAAAAATACCCAATCTGAATCAGATTAAACCACCAATACCAGTAAACTACTGCCAGTGTCTCACCAATTTCTCCCTCCCCCAACCATCCCATTTGGCAGGGAAAAGCAGGCTGCTTGGAAGCAGACCTGAAACAATGGAGGATGTCTCTTCCTGTTAGGGTTGTGAAAGCACCATTACCGTGAATAATACAACTGCACAAGGTCCAAAAACATCTACCTTCTTGTCCCAGGGATTATGTTTTCTCATGCTTACCGATGACTTGACTTTCGCGGGATCGACTCGGTCGTACACCGGCGTGCAGTACACGATCAGTATAAGCAGACTCAGCAGGAAGGCGCTGCAGCTGACGAACTCAAAGAAGTAGAGTCCCCCACACAAGGTGCACTGCGAGACCACCTCCTCACAGATGAAGGCCAGGAGAGACAGCACCTAGGAGAGAGACAACATCGGCTTAACTTGTTCAGGGAGACCTACAGAATTCAGAGAATACCATCTGTTCACCCAAACATTTGTCGAGTGGAGACTTGGCAAACAAGATGAGTCAGTGAACCCCATCTATGGACACAGAGCTCGGTCCAGTTGCCCTGAAGGGAATACAAGCACACAGAAAACAGTTACTATGAAAAGGTAGTTACTATGTCGGAACAGAGACATGCAGGAACTGTCCCAAGAGCACACGGGACAGGCACTCAACCCAGGTCAGGAGAGGCTTCCCACAGGAGCGCCAAGACCAGGAGGGCTGCAGTCAGCCTGGGGCTGGGAGGGAAGGGACAGGGGCACGGGCTCAGGCAGAGGAGCGGTGCACAGGAGACCTGGAGATGACAGCCCGCGGCACCGGCCCGCCCCAGCCACATACAGGCCCACGACCCCCTGACCGCGACAGGGGGCTGGGCCCTGTCCAGGTGGAGGGGAGGGGATGCCACAGAGAGGGCAACGTGACAGCGGGGGGTACGCAGGGGACTCTCCAAGTGCCTCCGGGGGCATCCCTGGCGGTCCAGGGCTAAGAATCTGCCCGCCGATGCAGACGCACAGGTTCAACCCCTGGTCCGGGAAGACTCCACATGCTGCGGAGTAGCTAAAAGCCCATGTGCCACAACTACTGCTGCGGCTAGGGCCCACGCTCTGCAACAAGAGGAGCCGCCGCAAAGAGCAGTGATGCCCCGAGGCCAGAGCAGCTCCCGCTCGCTCTACCGAGAGCGCACCACACCCAGCGAGGAAGACCCGCGCAGTCAAAAGTAAGTGTGTGAATAAACAGACGACTCCTTTTCCTGGTGTAAGAACTCTAAATTTTAAGGGTTTTTAAGGCAAAGGGTGACATGATCAGGCTTATGTTTTAGTGGTTCTTTCTAGCTACAAGACAGCGAAGGGATGAGGAAAAGGGCAAAACGGGGGGTAGCCATCCAGTCGAGAAGCTGGTGCCAGAAATGAAGGGAAAGATAAACAGGGTAGTTGTAATGGACGAAAGTCAAACCCCTGATGATGGAGGAGAAGCCCTGAGCTGACAGGATGAATACAGACAGAAGAGGAAACAAGATAACACATATGCGCTTAAACACTTTAACACAGAAAGGCACATTTATTCATTCACCAGTCTCTGCAAGTGGGCCTGTTCTTTGCGAGTGCGCCTGGCTGGAATTCCCCATCGTGTCTGCTTCATTAATCACCTCCATCATTTGTGACTGCCACTTCTAAACTGATGTTATTTCAAGCGGAACAAGATCTGGGACACTCGAGAAGCAGCATGCTGACTCTTTCTAGAATCAGACTAGTCTTTACTAGCCTTTCACAGTTGCCACACTCTTAATTCCACAGCAAGTATTAACTTATTTTTTGGTCTTTCTAAAGCATCCCATTTATTTTCATAGAAGCAATTCCTTTTCACATTCAATCTCAGTCTTGCAGTATTTAACTGGCCAATGCATTTGCGGTGAATGGAGGACAGCTGTCTGGCTAATTTGACAACTCAATTAAATGCAGGTGGGTTTTAACAGAGCTCCCACTGTTGTGTGATGAGGTACTCACACACTGATGCCTCACTGCAGAAAAAAGAGTCTGCTTTTTAAGAGGCAAGAGTGCTGGGAAGAGGATAAATTCATTTTAAACATGCTGTAAATGAGAGTTCTATGGAGGAGTTAGGTGCTGCCTAAGGCAAAAGGATATATGGGTCTGGAGCTCGGGGGACGCATCTGAGGTGGAGCCAACACATGGGAGATCACCCAGAGTTGGGAATGCTGGCCCATGGCAGAACTGTGATGAGCCTCAAGACTGGGGGGGCTCGACAGAGGGGGCTGCTGGTGCTGATTCAGTTGCTCAGTCATGTCCGACTCTTGGGACCCCGTGGACTGCAGCCTGCCAGGCTCCTCCATCCATGGGATTCTCCAGGCAAGAGTACTGGGGTGGGTTGCCATTTCCTTCATCAAGGGATCTTCTTGATCCAGGGATTGAACCTGCGTCTCCTCCACTGCAGGCAGATTCTTTACAGCCTGAGTCAGCAGGGAAGCCCCAAAGACAGGAGGAGATATGAGCATAGAACAGTTAGGAGCAGCAGCCCAAAGGGTAGCAAATCAAGAAAAAGGGTTTCTATGCAGAGCAAGTTATCAGAAGTGCTGACTGCGGACTTCCCTAGTGGTCTAGTGGTCGAGACTCCGTGCTTCCAATGCAGGGGGCGTGGGTTTGATCCCTGAGGTCAGAGCACTGAGATCCCAGGCCTGCTGTGTGGCGCAGCCAAACACAGAACCAGCACCAAGAGTGCTGAATGCTCCTCAGAGGTCAGGTAAGAACGGAACCGAAACGCTATGAGAGCCTGAGTTACAGGGCTGCCGACGGCCCCGACAGGGCCCCCTCAGCGAGCTCTGCGAGGACAGCCCACGCTCCAGCGCTGTCCACGGGCAGAGGGCTGAGGCCGGGCAGCAGACGGCCCAGTCACCAAGTGCAGCTCCACGTGGCCAGGTGGAGGGCAGTGGTGGATGAGCTCAAAGGGAAAGGCATTTCAAGACAGAGAACTGAGCGTCTTTAAGTGCTTAGAAGCCTGTGAGATGTCTAGATAGGAAGAAGAGAGGATCTCTAAAAGCAGGACTCAGGGCTCAAGGCGTGGGGCTAATGCTGCTCTACAAACAGAAAGGAAGAGGGAGCAGAGATTCACCTGGGCAGTCTGTGTGGGTTTTGTGGAGGCTGAGGGAATTTCCTTCTGAGCACTGAAACCTGATGGCTGATGAAATGACTGATGACCCAAGTCAAAGCCTACTGGGAAACGTCATCTTATTCAATTCAGGCCAGCAGGTGCCACCAGATACACGAATGGCAATAACACTGCTACCAGAATCAACGGTGAAATTTCAGAATAGCTTTATCCTACAAAACATTTTCATTAAAGCAGAGGTCCTTGATACAGCCTTTCTGGAAAATGGTTTAGCAATTTCTTTAAAAACTAAGCAGGCAACTGCCATATGACCCAGGAACTGCATTCCTACAATCTGCTCATTTCTTGGTCCAGAAAATGAAAATGTACATTCCTGCAAAAACTGATACATTAATGTTCTCAACATTTTATTCATCAGAGTCCCAAACTCTGAACACTCCAGGTGTCCTTCAATGGTTAAGCAAACTGTGGTATCCATACCATGGAATACTACTCTTAGCAATAAAAAGAAACGATATATGCAACAATCTGATGAATCCCCAAAGAATTCTATAAAGTGAAAACAATCCAATCTCAAAAGGTTACACACCGCATGACTGCATTCACAGAATAACACAGCTTTCCAAGATGGAGAACTAATCAGTGGTGGCCAGGACACGGGGGCGCTACACGGTAACGGAGCAGCTCTGGGTCTCGGCTGTGGTGATGAGCAAGGAAGCTACACTCCATACAACAGCACAGAGGTACACGAACACACACACGTCCAATGCAAAGGACCTCCCTTCACGTGTTTCTTTGCAAGTTCCTGTGATACCATGATTATTTTAAACAAGTTTAAAAACAAATCTAAATTAGCATCGAAGCCTCTAAGGGACTTCCCCCCTCCTACTGGCCATACAAAATGCACATGTGCCCACAACAGAAAAGAAAACACGTAAAGATGAAAACTGATCCTATTTTGCTGTGATTTCCTGTAAGTTAATGAGGCATAAACAGTCCAGAAGATCCCAAACAATTTCCTCATATCAGACAGATGTTAGGTGAGGCGTTCCCAGTCATGGCACCACAGACAAAGCAACACACCTAGACAAGCCCCAGGAAGTCACTGTGCAAGGACTTCCTCTCCTGTCATTACAAGGCTTCAATGTCGAGAGTGTAGTAAGTGCCCAATGTCTAAAACGCCATTTCTTTTGTTCTCTGCTATGTTAAATCTTACCTGAATGTTAGGAGTTTCTCTACAAGAAATCTTCAGGATATATCTAAGTTGTATGAAAGTAACTGTGAGAAGATACGAGCCTAGCACTCATTGAGATCAGACAACAGCAGCTCTTGAACCGTTCTTGTTACAAGAAGGAGATTATCGGGAACACTCATCAGTGTCCCTAAGACAATAAAATCCTATCTACAGTAGATACAGACCACTCATCTACTCTCCCCAAGAAAAGTGCAGGAACCAGCTGGGCCAGAACCTATCAGAGACAAGTCATTATAAGACCTCTTCCAAACTCCTCAAAGGAGGCATTCTTACCGACCTTAAACCTTAGGGCTCTATCAGGAGGCGGGTTCAGCATGGACATCCAAGAGAAGGAAGGGGTACTATGTCAAGCTTGGATGTTTACTAGTTCCTATTCCCAGTTAAAGGCCAAGAAATTAGCACTATAAGTTACATTCGGTATGAAAACTCCTGACTCCCCATCTCTGTTAATACTAAGCTTCCTTTAAAATCTCCTACAGCTCTATGTGCTTCCTGGTGGCTTAGTAGTCAAGAATCTGCCTGCAATGAAGATGTTGGTTCGATCCCTGGGTTGGGAAGATCCCCTGGAGGAGGGCATGGCAACCCACCACAGTATTGTTGCCTGGAGAATCCCACGGACAGAGGAGCCTGACGGGGTACAGGCCATGAGGTCGCAGAGTCAGACACGACGGAGCGACTTAACTGCAAGGACAACAGCCGCTCTGTATGGTCTCCACACAAGACAAGGGGACACTTCACAGTCTATACAAGTGTCACGTCGGTACACACGAAACCAACAGGTCAGTTACATCTCAAGTCCAAATTTTAACCTGTGTTGAGCATTATGTATCCAACATTGTAGTATGTGTAGGAACATGTAATAACAGAGCAATAAGACCTATGTATGGACTCCCTTGTAGCTCAGCTGGTAAACAGTCCGCCTGCAATGAGGGGCTGGTAAACAATCCGCCTGCAATGCGGGAGACATGGGTTAGAAGATCCCCTGGAGAAGGGAAAGGCTACCCACTCCAGTATTCTGGCCTGGAGAATTCCATGAACTGTATATAGTCCATGGGGTCACAAAGAGTTGGACACGACTGAGCAACTTTCACTTTTAAAACCTATGTATAAGGAAAAAAAATAAGAAAACAATAATTTTATATCTCATACTTGAGCATTTGGTATAAATTCAGGAAAATGTTCAGATCCACCTGGATTAATAGTAGCCACAGAAGGATGTGTGAAAAGAAAGACCCAGGATCAGGACAGGCAGAGGGCACTCCGGGTGTGGCACAAAAGGAACAGAATCAGACCAGCAAGGATTTGCAGGGCAGCCAAGAGGGTAACAAGGCAACTGACCCAACTGGATGGGGAGGGATGAGGTAAATGATTAAGGAGTTGAGTGTGGTTATGTGATGATCCTGCCAGAGTGGATGGACTTTCAGATGCAGGAACTGCCTGTCTGGTTTTGTTGGTTAGCAGACAGGAGGGGTGGAGCGCTGGGAGAGCCTGAAGAACGTCACAGCCCGAGCGGAGGAGGGACCAGGGCAACTGGCAGCAGAAGAGCAAGGCACCGAAGTTGAACATGTCTCAGGGAAACGCGTTCAAAAGCAAGTAAACACACTCCACACTGTTAATCCAACATGAGGCAGCAGAGTGTGTTGATGAGGCCTGAAGTGTGACTTGTTTTAATCTCATATATATATATAATGTATATATTTATGTTTATATTTGTTTGTAAGTAGACGCTTTTTTGTATTAAAGAAGAAAATGTGAAAGTAAGGGAAGAACTTCAAGAAATGTGTGGTCACCAGCATTAAATACCTAAGTGGCTGAAGACAGGAAAAGCAACAAGGTCACTGAACGAGGTAAGGATATGATGGTGAGCGCAACCCCCAGGTTCAGAGGCTCCGTGACTACTTTCTGGTAAACAGTCTTGCTCTCAACAGCATGAAAGCATCACACTGAATGCTGCTGGCTGATTATTAGGCTAAGCACCTCACAGGGTACACATGCCCAGTATGGCTTCTTCTAATGATGTAAAATTGTATCAAACGTAACTAAGGGCATTACTGACCTGCTAAAAGTTGGCAGGGCCCTTGGAGAACAGGGCCCCCCACCCTTCTGTTCGCAGCTGAGGGACTCAAACCTCTGACAGACTTAACTCACAAGTTAGCCACATACCCGACTCCCACTCTGTACTCTTTTCCCCCTAAAGCACTGTTTATTAAGCTCATCTTTCGACTGGATGTGTTTGTGTAGGATCTCCCTGTCATCTGGGTTTTTGAAGTTACGACCAGAGGTCTGCGCATTTCCCTTTTTGCTGTTAAATCATACATTAAAACCACCATGCTAGAGTCAACACATTTGGGAAGTCTTAGTGACTAAAGATGCACTTACCGTTCTGGTGACTTCAGCATTCAGAGAATGACTCCTCTGTCTCTCCATTTCAGTTTCACTACCCTTTCTGAAACTTCAGTCTTCCCTAAAATTAGCAGTCACCACGCTAAACACCAATTCTCCATCACTGAACAGTCTACCGCCAAAAAATTTCTCATAAAAGAACTTTTTAATGTTTGCATTAATTGTAAGGCTCCACATACACAATTTTTTCATTCTGTGAATTATTAAACTCACTTTAAAAACCTTGTAGTGATATGTAAGGTTCAAGTAAACAAATGTGTCAGCCTGTAGTCAGGCTAAGCCTCCCGTGCATTCAGCAAACATTTACTCACAAAGATTCAAAGATTTGCAGACATTATGGATCTTCTTCAAGGTAAAAACAGAGCACTTCAATTTAGTATGTATCAATTTTCACATTTAAGTCATGAAAAGAGCACCAAGATAAGCTAAAGGGCTTCTAAGTGATTTGTTTCTTGGCACTTACAAAATAACTAGAATAGTTATTGTGAATAACTATTCACAATCTAATACATTTAAATCACTGGTGAATTCTAAACCAAACTGCTTGCCTGAAGTCATTATAATCATAGTACTATGCAGCCTTCAGGACATTCAGCTGGTCCGATAAACACAATGCTTGTTTGTGACAGAGACTATATCATACATAGTTAGATCACTACACCAGTTTACTAGCAAGGAATTTGGCCGCCAAAAAGGTCAATTCTCCTCGTAAAACCAAAACAAACAAACAAAAAACGTGCCTCAAAAAATAACAGTAACAACAAAAACCTCACAAAGTACCTGCGTAAGGACCAACCTAGGGATAAGATAAACTACCAAAGTGATCGCATGGACTGAGAACTGCAACGCTGCCTTACGGCACCTTCTCCGCTGAGTCTCCCGTTTCCTCTTCAGCTCTGCAAGGGTGGACGGACAAGCCTCTGACAAAACTGACGTCACACGTGAACGACAGACACAGCCCTCTAACTCCCAGAGTATGTAACTCAAGAGCCAGTCATGCCGTTTTCTCTCTAGCCGCCCCTTCCGTTTGCAGGTGCCGCTCTCTACCCCCGGTGTTCGGATCTGTTCTGGCACACACATCCTGCAGAGCCTCAGACTGTAAAAACCTTAAGGCAGGAAAGAACCTCAGAGGAGACCCAATTCCGCCTCCTAGGACTCTATGAATTTCCTAAGTACACAGTGTCTGGTTTGCTAAATTTCAGAGTAAGACATTTCTCTTTTGGGATTTTTGAGAATCTGGTATGATTTATGGGTCTAGAATAATGAACACAGAAATGCACTGTATTTTGAGTAAAATGATCTCGGGTTTGCAGGTCCCTTGTTAAAGTACCTCGTCTTTTTTGATTATGGGTTTCTCCACTCCAATTATTCCTTCTTGTAGCTCGCCAACTCTTTTTAATTAAAAAATAATTTATCTAAAGAAAACAACCTAAAGGCAGAGTTTGAGTTGAGGCAAAGACTTTGTCTGTTGCCCCTGGCTGGCTGAATTTTCATTTACTCCATATAAAACTTTCTTGGGACTTTCTGGATAAATCTATTGTTGTGAAGAGGTGAGACATTAAAACCGACAAAGTAGGAACAAAAAGACAACCATCAGAATGAAAGGCAATACTGAAGAAATATTTTTCTAAATCTATGTTAAAGAAAATGTAATATTATAAAATTCCCTGTAAACAAGGGGATTCTCTGACGGTCCAGGGATTAGAACTCCGAGCTTTCACTGCCGAGGACAAGGGTTCAGGAAAGATGCTGAAAGCCGCAAGGTGAGGCCAAAACAAAGTGAAAAGGCTGGGACAGGTTCACCATAAACCAACAAATGGATTTCAAGAAGAGACATTAATTTTCATTCTTTTGCTCTTTCTCCTTATGGGTGATGGAGAACAAGCAGAAATAGTCTAACAATCCCCGCCAGGCAAACTCATTCTCCCCCTTCTCTCCAAGTAAAAAGTCTACCATCCAAACTTATGGCTGCATTCTATTCAGAAGATATGGAACTAGTTTATTAAACTATAAATAAGGCAATCAGAAACTTTATATTTGCCAGTTCTCATTGGAAAGAAAAAAACAAGGCAACTGAAAAGAGATTTAATGGACAACAGACCAATACTGACAATGTCTTTTGAACAGCAAGAGTGCTTCGAATGAATATTACGTCTTTCCTGTTCCAAATAATTCTTCTACTTATATAAAACCATTTTAGCTCTAAGGCAGAGAAACACAGCTGACATCCAAAAGTCAAGCAAGAGCTTAGGACAGGAAGAGCAGAAGGAAGCCCTTCTTGGGTAGGAGGATCCGCTTATGCAGAAGAACAAAGGCAGGAGGGGGCTGAGGACACTGTAGGAATAGAAAGGCTGCCAGCATGCAGTTAAAGGGAGACACAGCCCGACCCTCCTGGGCCATACTGTCACTTGCTTCCAAGTGACTTCCCAGCTATTCCCAGAAGTGATCATTTGGGGGGGCTAAAAAGCTATGTTAGGGTTTTTTTTTTTTTGCAATTTTTATTTTCAATGAAAGTAGGTCATCTGAGTTCTAAGAACGTAAGTTCTGGTTATCTGACTTCTAAGAACTTAATATCTTCCAAAAAAAACCAACTGGCTGTTTTCACTGGGGATGATTCAAAAACCAAATCAACCCATAAACATTCTAAACAGTCTGATTTTTCCTCTTGCAGAAAATGTTACTCATCGTTCATTAAAACAGAAGGAGCTCAATGTGCATGTGATCTGAATGAAAATTTAAATTTCAAAGATGGTTTGATATTTTCACTAGTAGATTTAAGGTCCTAACCAACGCCTAAAGCAAATTGAAACTCAGTGCCCAAGAGAATGCCCTCGGCCTGCTTCCCTTCACACAACTCACACAAAAAGCTGTCCTTCTGACTTTGTATTTGGTACACACACTGCTCACTTAGAAAGAATTCTTTTCCAGTTAGTATTAAGAGACAACTTACTAGACACATCTCTCTCTACGCCTTGCGTAGTATCGGAACACTCTGGCCAACAAATGTAACTGCCCCCTTGGGTTCACACCAGGAAAACCGCAAGAACAAGAGAAAGATAAAAAAGCATTTTGTAGTCCAAATACGGACACTTTGGGAGATAATGCAGGGTAACAAGGAGAAGAGCCAAAGGTCACTACACAGGAGCAGGAAACGGGTAGGCTGCTGGCTTGGGTCTCCTACGCATTTCCTGCGCCCGCCCAAAACGCTGGGTGGTCCCAGAACACCCGGGCGGGCGGGCGCGGGTTGGGGGCCGACCCTCGAGGGACCCGGGAGGAGGGAGTGCCGGCAGACTCCCCGCGTGGGAACGGCCCCTCCGCGGGCGGAGAGGGAAGGAACTGGGGATGTGGAAACTGCCGCGTCTTAGCAGCAGGCAGAGCGCCGCTCGCTGCCTCCTCTCGCCCGCCCCGGCCGCGGACTCACCAGCTCCAGCAGTTTGAGTCGCCGGAACCCCGTGAGCCGGCTCAGGGTAAAGTAGGCGGCGAGGCCGCTCCGGGGGCCTCTGCCAGGGCCCGGGTGCGCCTCGGTGGTGGCTCTGTAGACCTCCCCGTTCTCCATCGCCCAGAGCCCGGGAACGCAAGGCCGCGGCTGGTGCCCCCGACTCCACTGACTCCGCGGGCTAGGCCGTCACTTCCTGGGCCTCCGCCCCACTTCCGGCAGACTCCGCCCAGGCCCCGCCCAGGCCCCGCCCCCTGCCGCGAGGCCTTACCTCTCTTCTCGTGAAGATCTTGGGAAAGACTGGGAAACATGAACAGCAAGTGCAAAGGTCCTGGGGACCGCAAACGTCTCGGCTCCCTCTGGAATGGCTGCTGTGGCCAGGTTGAGCAAGGGAGAAAAAGAGGAGGTGAGGCTGGAGAGGCAGGCAGAAGCCAGACAATGTAGGGGCCTTGCAGAGCAAGGGAAAAAATGAATTTCATTTTCAACGTTACTGGTTACCTCAAAGGTCTTTCAGGATTGCTCCCTCCTGCGTCGCTGAATTCCTTTCAGGCTTACGTGTCAAAACTGATGCTATAGTCCCATATGTTAACTTTGTGTGAACTTAACCTCATCAAGGAAGGTAATCATAATTTAGCAACCAAAGCTGATCAATTCACATGCCAGGCACACGTCCTTTCTCCACAACAATATAACATAGGTACTGTCATTACATTAATTTTACAGATGAGAAAACTGAAGTTGTAACCCAGCCCTCCCAGGTACAAAAGCCTCCCTTCTTGAACCATGTCCCCCATTTCTTGTTTTTAGAAAAAGGCTTTAAGTCTCCTAGGCCTCCCCTGAGTTCCAAAGAGCAGATTCAAGCAATTACTAATTAAGGAAGTGAGAAATGTAGAAACAAAAGCAGTCAAGACAGCAACAGTTCAAGGATTAAACAGTCCTAGTTCTTCCTCAGGCAATACCTGCCCGTAACAATCTTACCACAGATCTTGAAGTTGTTCTGCAGGAAGAACTAAGACCCCTGCACAGGTGGAGGGTGGTGGCTACAGGCTGACCACCAACACACAGACCCCAGACTGGCTGGAACCAGACAGCTGATGAAGATTCCTGAAATGCCTTACCTCACCACCAGCCAACCAGAAAAAAGTTATGCCCTCTACATTCTCACCCCAAAATCCACTCGTGTTCTTGCCTGCAGAATCCCAGGGACGGAGGAGCCTGGTAGGCTGCCGTCTATGGGGTCGCACACGACTGCCGCGACTTAACAGCAGCATTCTCATCCCAAATGCTGCCTTTAAAACCTTCTGATGAAAACCATTGGGAGTTCCGGTCTTTTGAGCACAAGCTGTTCACTCTCCCTGCTGGGTCCTGCGAGAAACGCTCTCCCTTCCTTCACTGCGACCCAGTGTCAAGTCCAGCTTTGCTGGACTGTAAGCAAGAGGACCCGAGTTCAGGTCAGAAACCAGGCCAAGAGGCTGAGTATCACATCCAAGGTCAAACACCCACGGGCAAGTGGAAGGGGGGCCCAGGCCACCTGACTCAGCCTTGCTGCTGGTCACGAAGCCGGAAGCCCCAGCCTGCACCCCTTGAGGGCCTGGAAACTCACGTGAAAGGGAGGGGATACTGCTTCCACATGGATCTTCTGTCCTCCACAGCCCCAAACCTCCCTTTCTCCCATTCAAATGGAACAAAAAAAGTAGACCCTATGCTGGGGATAAGGGGGGTGGGGGTGGATAAGCTACAGTCAGTCCAAACTATCCTACCGTCTTTGATTAAACACATTCTTAACCTCTTGCCAAGGCCAAGCAGCCACCAATCCTAGCCAATAAAGCCTCTCTGTTTTCACAAGGACTATAAGGATTCATTGCCTGTTATTAAAGTCACTGTCATCCCAAACTAGACACTACCTGTGTCTGAAATTTACTTTGAAATTCATCCCCCACAAGGAGAGAGAGATGGGTTAATGAACAGAGAGATGGATGAAAGGAGAGACTTGTGATAAAGCAACTGCGGGAACATGTTAATGGTGGAGCACACGGGTGTTCACTGTACAATTATTTCAACTTCTGTGTTTGGATATTTTCAAAATAAAGTATTAATGGAGGGAAATGGCAACCCACTCCAGTATTCTCGCCTGGAGAATCCCATGGACGGAGGAGCCTGCTGGGCTACAGTCTACGGGGTCACAAAGAGCCAGACACGACTGAGCAACTTCACTTTCACTTCCCTGGTGGTCCAGTGGTTAAGAATCCCCCTGCCGAAGCAGGGAATACCAACTTGATCCCCAGTCTGAGAAGATCCCACATGCCGAGGAGCAACTAAGACTGTACACCACAAGCCCAGGTTCTAGAGCCTGTGCTCAGCAACAGCCGAAACCCCCCGGAAATCAGTGCCCCGCAGTCAAAGAACATCACACGCTGGCAGAGACTGGGGAAAGCCTGAGCACAAAAAAGAACACCCAGCACGGCCAAAAAAACCCAAACAAGTGAGGATGTGCACAGGTTACATACAAATACAAATACATATTTTCAAATGAAAGACTAGAGCCTCTGAGGATTCTGGTATCCAAAGGGGGATGAATGAAGTGAACTCAAAGTCACTCAGTCATGTATGGCTTTGCAACCCCATGGACTGTTCAATCCATGGAATTCTCCAGGCCAGAATACTGGAGTGGGTAGCTGTTTCCTTCTCCAGGGGATCATCCCAACCCAGGGATGGAACCCAGGTCTCGCACACTGCAGGCGGATTCTTTACCATCTGCGCCACCAGGGAGGCTCCCAAAGTGGGGTCCTAGAACCAATTCTCCCAGACACCAGAGGATGACTATACTAGGGAGTCCTTTCGATGGGGGGAGCCACACAGAAAACTTTCCCTTCATTAATGAATAAACAACCCTGCAGGGAGTGGCTACACTGAAATGAGAAATCTTATTTATGGAGAAAAGATACACCAAATAAAAGGAAGATTAAGTTTTGAAGATTATTCAGTTTTCTCCTTTAATAGCAGTATTTTTTTTAATGAAGGAAAGAAAACATTCAAAAAGAGACAGTTTGTGAAAACACAATTTGAGATTTTCACTATTCAAAAAGTAATTTGGTGCTAACTTTTCAATTAAAATTTTGTTTTCAGCAGGTCCTACTGAAACATCTTCAGGGCTTTCTTAACTATGTTAGGACTGTTAGGCTGGAATGTGGATACAAATCTGGATCACAGACCCTGACCGTCCTACAGAGACATCCACAAAGGACCATGTCACAAAACAGTGTGTGTGGATGCCATAAAAGAGAGAGGATACAAATTATAAAAAAGAAAAAAAAAAGATAATACAAATTAAATGTTTTGAGAATTCAGTCGAAGAAAATGACTTTCAGCTGAAAGGATCGGCATGGTGGAGCTTCAAGCTGGGGTTAAACAACAGTGGACTTCGGACGTGCAGAAAGAGGACAGGGGCAACTGCAGGCAGAGTGGCAACGGGAAGAGAAGCCAAGAAGTGCCCGTGAAACAGAACAGAGGAGGAAGGCCACAGTAGGAAAGGAGGGAAACTGACCGGCCAGTTTTGGAGGGCCTAAGGAGGCAGGCTGAGGAGGGACTTGCCTTGTGGTCTAGTGGTTAGGACCCCGTGCTTCCACTGCGTGGGGCACAGGTTCGATCCCTGGCCCAGGAACTAAGATCTCACATGCTTCTTGGCACAGCCAAAAAAAAAAAGAGAGAGAAATCAGGCTAAGGAACTAGAGCTTTCCTTTACTGCTGAACAATGAGGAACCACACAGGAGGAAAGTGAATGACCAGAGCTCTTCCTTGGGGGTGTTTTTCTAGCAGCCTTGTGTAGACTGGGTGGTAACAGGCAGGCAGGGACTGCTGCAGATGTTCTGGAAATAGGAAAGGGAGGCTCGGACTTGGACGGTGGTCACAGAACCAGAGCAGAAGGGGTGGCCTGAAGAGACTCGTGGGAGGGAAAACCAGTGCGATTTGGAGGTTGATTCGCTTGAAGAAAAAGGGAGGACCTGGAACAGAGGCTAAACTTTCAAGCCAGGTAACAGACACAAGAGACAGGGAGCACAGGAGGAACTGCCTCTTGTCAGGATCAAAGCACGCACTGCAAAACGTTAACAGCCTAACAGTCCTACAAGCAGAGTCAGCATGCTTCAAAGATTTATTTAACTTACTGGCAATCAAAAGAATGCAAAAACACTTCAGAGAATGATATGAACAATCGTGTCACGTGTATATATGTGTGTGAGTGTCTATGTATGAAAAAAATGGGAATACAGTTACTAGGCTAGTTCCAAAACTAGCTGAATACTGCACAGGACATAAAATGGTGGCCTCTGTGATTAACTAAAGCAGAGAGAAACCATTTTCATCTCTATCGGGAAAAAGTGAGGTAAGTCAGATAAAGACAACTATCATGTGATATCGCTTACAGGTGGAATCTAAAAACTGAGACACATGAACTAATCCACGGAACAGAAACAGACTCTCAGACTTAGGAAAACAAATTTATGGTAGTCAAAGGGGAAAGGCAGGGGGAGGCAGAGGGACAAATTAGGAGGTTGGGCTTGACACAGGCACACACACGTATATAAAATAGATCACCATCAAGGACCTGCTAGGCAGCACAAGGAACTCAATATTCTTTAGTAACCTACACATATGGGGAAAGAATGTAAAAAAAAGCAATGGCTATATGTATAACTGAATCAAGTCAGTGTACACCTACAACAAAGCTAACATTGTAAACCAAAAATACTCCAATATAGAACAGAAAAATTTTTTAATGCCTCTACATTCCCCTCAGGCCCTGGTGGTCCAGGCTGGTGTCACACCCCTGGAGCCGTGGGTCCCAACAATGGACTGTCCTGTGGCTGAGGGAGCTGGGCAGGATGTGCCAGCAAACGAGCCCCACTTGGACATGGAGTGCACAGTCCTCTCTGGTGGGGCCACAATCTCCAGACTCAAGTGGGCCCTCCTATCAAGCCAAGGACACCCTTCAAATGGTGGATGCTCTGGACTGGAAGAGCTCTGAACAGTCCCCGTCTCCACGTGGCGTGGTGCTGAGTTCCCACCTCCAGCCTCCTTCCTTAGAGTGGCCCCACCTATGGCCAACAGCGCCCTAAGTGTAGCAGTTTTGCAGGGGTTGCAGTTTGTCTATGGAAGGGTGAAAGGGGAAAAGGTAATGAGCCAAGTCCTTGGGGTTTTGTTCTGG